AGGGCTGTTCTTAAAGGGGAAGTGTGTGGTCTCCAGTGTTATGGTTATTGTTATTGTTATATTGTAGCCCAGGGGCTTGTATTTATGTTATTATTTGAACCGGTGGACCAGAATGAGGCTAACTGGGGAGGAGGATGCCTCACAGGGGGCACACTACTGTGTGGAGAGCCCAGTGCCAGAGGGTCCAGCAACAGGGGTCAGGGCCCAGTGATAACAGAAGGCCGACTTAGGCAAAGACCTCATTACAGGGACAACATTGATATACCATCTGCAAGGCGTGGGGTGTGGTAAAGGGGCAGTTTTGGAGCCATGCATCTAGCCACTAAGGCTTGGGGTGTCCCGCAGGTCACCTGCTTAGAGCGGGACCCAGCAAGGGGTCTAAGAACCCACAGGGTTTAGTGGGGTCCATCAGGACCGTGACTGCGCAGCAACTTGAGGGCAGCCTCCCTATCTACTGTCTAAACCAACAAGATGTGGCGGGCAAAGCTAGAAGACACCCACAGGGCAAAGCTGGCACGGTCACAGAGCCCTGCAGGCATCACGGCCATCCCTGGGAACCCCGCACTGTGACAGATTCATAAAGCAGTGACTCCTTAGCCATGGGAGAGTTACTCAGAACTCTTCAGAACAGGGACTTTGAATTCTCCTTTACAAATGAAAGCCAAAGTTGGCCTTTCATTTCCCTACTTCATTCCTCCATTGACCTGACAGAAGCATTGTCAGGATTATAACATATTAAAAGCACTAAGGGATTCAACTCTGGGGCATAGTGTGGTTGCTTTCCATCCCACTATCTGCAGATTTGCTTGTGTATAAGGAGCCACAGAATGTTTGCACGTGTCCTGCAGTTGGGCAGAGACAGTGTGTGGTCGCTGTGGTGCTGTTCATGTTGCAAGGTGCATCTGGGATGCTCTGTATGTCCTGGGGTTTCCTTGGGCTAGTGGCATCTTCAGTAATTTAGAGCAGACTTCAAGGCACTCTAATTTATGTTACAGAAATAACACAGCAAACAGCAGGCCTGAGATCAAACATGAGGAGCACTTTTTTCTCCTGACTGGTGTTTTCCTTGGTCATATGGTCTGCATAGATAGAGCTGCATGTGTAGATGTTGGGACTTTACTGCAGAGCTAATTAGGCAACTCCACACTAAACATCTTGTGTAGTTGCTCCCAGCAACTACAAGCCTATTAGGCCACAGGAAACTAATTAACTCCGCTGCAGGTTAGTACTTGTAAATACAAGTACTATCATGTGGCGGAGTTCTTTAGTGTGCAGCAATGCAAAAGTAGATGCTGACAGGGCTGGCTGGACACAAGGGTGCTTCAGTGCAGGGGTTGCCTGCTGGCTAGCCCTACACATTGAGCCAGGTCAGAGCAGCCCTGAGCTGGTAGCCCCTCCTGGGTTCCCTGCCAACAGGGACTTCTCCAACTCAGCTTGATGTGCTGAGGCCCTAGGTGCACATTCAAATGGCATGCCCAGGAGCAATGAACTCTAGCATGATATGCATTAGAGTTTATTGCTCCATGTTAACAGCACGTGTACATACATCTGCTGAGTAGTATTATTATGCATTAGTCTTAAGGGCATAACTGTCACTTTCAGATTAACATGCGTCACAAGGCTCATTTAAAAAGCCTAAATGATTTAGCTGAGCCTGGGATGGCTGGGGAACTGAGGGCACAAAAAACTCTTAGAACAGGGGCAGGCAAAATATGGACTGCCAGCCAGATCCAGTCCTCCAGGCACTTTCATCCAGTCCACGGTGCCCACAAACTAATTATACCCTGTCCAACCCTTCCACCCATGAGGATGGGAGTGAGGCACCCATGTATACACACACCCTACCAACATACCCTGTTGCACCTCACTTCCACCCTGTGAGCAGAAGGGCCCAGTCCTGCCAGCACACAGTTTCTGGGAGGGGCTGCTGCTGCCACTGCTGCAGCTGCTGGGGGACCTGCTGAGCTTCCCAGTGTCCCACTCACTCTGGGCACCAGGTAAGGAAGCAGCAGGGGCTGGGGAAGGGGGCATGGGGCTGGCAATAGCATGGAGCCTGCATCCCGGGGGGTGGCAGCAGTGCGGAGCTCAGTTAGGCAGGGTATGGGTGTGATGGATTGTGGGGGTGTGTGGGGACTCTCCTCACAGTCCCTCATGGTGCACAGCCCCACAGGTGGCAGCAGCAGCAGCAGGCAGGGGCACTTGTGCCCAGCACAGGTGTGGGCACCTGGTGGTGCATGGCTCTGGCCAGCACTGCACATCGGGACAAGAAGAGCAGGCTGGCTGGGCTGTCTCTATCACCAGGACTCCCCGCCATGCATGGGCAGCCTCCGCACTTGCATGCCACTGGAGAATAGCACCACATACTGGAGCTGGCTGCCTTCACTACTCCCTGCCATGCAAGTCCTGAGATTCTGCAGAAAAGCATGGGCCGGGGCTCCCCTCCATTTCCAGTGGATTCTGAGGACCCGTGCAGCAGGAAGTGGGCTTCGGTGGCATGCAAGAATGGGGGCTACTTGTGTGTGGCAGGGAGCCCCCATAATAGAGGTGGCCTGGCCAGGCTGCGCTCCTTTCCACAACATGCAGTATTGGCTGGAGCCACATGCTATCAGGCACCTGTGCTGGGCACGAGCACCTCAAGCAGCCCCACCTGCTGCTGCTGCTGCTGTTGCTGCTGCTGGTGCCACCACCTGTGGGGAAGTGTGCCATTGGGAAGTGTGGGGGGGTCCCCACATTTCCCCACCCTTCCTCACACCCTACAAATGCCACACACCCACACCCTGCCCCCACAACTCCCCACATATACACCCCCAGCATACATTATTGCCCCCCACACACAAATCCCCCCCACACCCCACCATGCACATACACACAAACCATACACTGCACCATACACACACAACCACACACCCCCCACACAATATACAAGACTAAAACTTTATTTTTGAGTTATTATGCAATCACCTCTATATACAGTACACAAACACAAATCATGATAAAAATGTTTTTTGTAATAAAATTAAAATATGTTATAGTAGGTGTTTGACTTTTAGTGCATGGTTTGGTGTTTTTCTGGTTTTGAGATGACAATCCCCACCTCTCAAAAGCAGTATTTCTGGGGGCAAGGGGAGGGACTTCAAGTGGCAAAGGTCAGGGTTTAGGGGCAGGACTTCTGGTCCCAAGATGGTAACCAGGGGGCTGGGCAACTGTCAAGGGACTGGGCTACCTATGCAGCCCTTGAAAGCTCACCAAACCTCATTAAGCAGCCCTCCAGTCAAAATAATTTCCCACCCCTGACTTAGAAACATCCAGTAGGGGAGTCTTCTCCTTGCCTTCACTAATTAGGAGCCTCACTTCCTAATAGACTGGAAATATGGAGTAGGCTTTGTAGGAGGATTCAGGTGCACTGATTTTATAATCTTCCATTTAGAAGGGCTCTTATTTGGCTAAGGGCTATATTTAAACCAGAGCTGAATAGAACTTAAAAGCCAGTAAATCATTTTGCAGTCACCAGAGTTCACTTCACTCTGGTTATATTTATTACTACTGGAATAAAAAACTTAGATGCATGGTTTGCATCCTTATATATCTCTCATCAATGTAAACACCAAAGCTGATCCCCATTTTGCACTGACCATAAATAACTATACAAGCTGCAGGGAAGTAATGAGTCAGATTAATAAATATCTGGAGACTTACGTATTACCATTATGTATGCTGTAGCTTTATGATAAAAATGATATGCAGCATTGTGTTAAAATACTATCTTGTGCATAAAAGTAGTAAAGCATGGAAAGCCATTCCTTACTTGGAGAGTGTAATTTCTAAAGCTGTTCCAATTTCATTGCTTTATTGTATATGTTGGTACATCTAAAAGTTTACTTATTTCTACATGGCACTTGCTTAGTAGAAAACTTGAGCTTTCAAGGCAGTCTTGAAACATCCATCATGCAGAGAGGCAAAGAAAATATTTAGATTGTCTGCTAATTGTGTAGGCACCCAAGGGACTATGAAATTGAAAGGCCTTACTTTGTGCTTGTGTATTTTTAGTACTTCAGGTGTTCCTTCTTTTTTCTTTTTGAGGAAGGAAATGAACCAGTTATTCTAGTTATGTGAAATGAAATCGTTCTAAAATTGGCCATACTTTTTAAAAGAGACTCCTTGTTGGAGAGCTGTTGCTTAGGAACCTAACCTGTGATTTTTCTTTTAATTATTTTCCATACATTTGTTTAGAATCAAATATTGTCTCCAAATAGGTGGAAAATTCCCAGTATAGAAATATGACAGCCAGGTTAACAAGTTAGCTTCCGTTTTGCATTTCAAAGATAAACTTGTCTAATGTTGGGTAAAAATGGGGTTATTTGAAAAACATAGTAATGGTTCTGAATAGCATTTTTCTTCACAGCACTTTACAGACACTGACTATATATTGCCACAAAACCTTTTAAGGTTGCTGAATTAATTTCAAGGACAAATCAAAACTGCTTGGGAAGTGCTGCCATATTTCAGAAAGGGAGACTATTTTAGCATTTTCTGCTGGTTCCCACAGTATATGAGTTCAGCAATCCATGAAAGAAGCTATCAGGGTGGGATTAGAAGCCAAAAAAGTCCAGTTCCTCAGACCACTGAGATTCAATAACCATATTTACTCAAATATAAGACAGCCCTGAGTATAAGATGACCATCCAATAATTAGATTGTATATATGTCAAATTTTATAAATCTGTTATAATTGTCCAGGTATCAAATCTAATTATCGGAGGTTTGCCTTAAATTTGTCCCCTTCCCACTGCTACAGCAGAAAAATAAATCTGGAGGGGTCAGGTAGCCCTTTTGCTCTCTGCCTCCCACAACTTCTTCCCCCTGCAGCCTCTTTTCCTCCCACCCTTACTGCCAGACCCTGCACTCCCTGACCATATGGAAATGAGGGACAGATCTGAAAAAACTAGCCTAGAAATAAACATACCTGTAGTAATTTGCATACAGGCAAATTATTCCAGGTACCCATAGACTTAGTCCATTCAGAATTGATGTACCTTTTTTGAAACTCCTGTGAGTTTTAGGACAGATACTCCATAAATACACTTTCAAACAGCACTTTTGTACCTACTTATATGTACAAACTATGCATGATATTAGTCCAAAGCCAAAAGGCTCATACTTAACTATATAAGGTACAGGGCAACCTAGTCCAGCTTCTCCTCTTTGGGTTGGGAGGAGGAACATCAATCAAATGCATCAAGCAGAGAGAGGGGGCGACACAGAGATTCGGGACAAACTGTTTGGGACCCTATTTGGTGATGTTTCCCAGACATTTAAGGCTGGTGAAGAGACAGGAATTATTGGAAATGGAAAAGAAAGGTGCAGCTCAGCTGTGGGAGTGAAAAAGTCAAATTGAGCTCTCAGCTCTGCTCAGTTGAAATTTGGAACTTATAAATCAGAACTGATTTGGCCCTGGGAACAAAACATTATTTTTTAAAAATCAGCATTTTTTGGTACCATGGAGGGTATTGGAGTTTGTTCCAGCATTTCCAAGTGCCAGCCTGGCTCTGCAGTACCTCTAGGCTCAGTGCTTTTTTTCTCCTGAGGAAGCAGATGCCCGTTTAAAAAGGGGTTCCCATCAGTATGTTTGCCCGTTGGTTTACATTACTGAGTACAAGCTGCTTTGGGCAGCGGTTTAATGATAGACAGGATGTGTCTACACATGCTATTAATGCACTGTAAGCTAATTGTATGGTAAAATACTGTGCAATAAGCTTACCCCAGGAGTGTCTTTACATGTGTGCCTGTTAAAAGCAAATTTGCTCTCAATAGGAGCAATTCAGTGCAGGGATACTCCTGCCCTACTCTGCTTCCCTACAGCAGCCAGGGGCCCTGGGCTGGCAGGGTGCTTCAGGGTCAAACCTGGGCTTCTGGGGGTGGGGGCAGCTGTCCCACCTCTGAGGCAACTGCCTCCTAGCCGTGCACCTCAACTGGCAGATCAGGGCATGGGACTGGGAAACTGTCCCCTCCCCCAGCAGCTCTTTCCCAGTCCCATGGCCCAATTGGGCGTGGGGTTGGGAAACAGCTGTCTGGGGAGGGGACAGTTCCCCCACACCCTGCAGCCTGGGCTGACCAGGAGCAATTTGCTCCTAGTTATCTGTCTATACATGCACTATTGCATAGTAGGTACTGCACTGTTAATGTACTGTATCTACAGGTAGTACCCACTACACAGTAGACTAATTTACTGCACAGTAAATGCTGCACACATGTACAGAATGATGCTTTATTGCCAAGTAGATTAATTTACTGCATAGTAAAGTGTCTCCTGCACATGCATCCACAGTCTATTTAATGAGGTTTCCTTGTATTCAGATATAATATGAGGGGGTTTTTTTCCCTCTGCCGATTGAGGACAAACCATGCCATGAACAGTGTATGTTCAAAGGAACCAAGGGGCTTTCAGTGTTATTTGGAGCACTGTTTTCCCTCAGTTTTCTTTCAGATTCCCAGTCTTGTGTCTGGATAAGTGGGTCTGAAAGGGTGGATCAGATTGGGAGGTTTGATGAAGCATGTTAAGAGTTTCTTTTTTCTTAGGCAAGTGAGAGCCCTGCATGCTGTGGAGATAAAGTTGATCTTCATTATTTATTAGTATTCCTGTATCTATTAGCATGGTGGTTGCACTGAGTAGAAATTCTGGACCAGCTCTAATGTAGATAGGCTTCTCAGGTGAAGGCTGCCACACAGTGGTAAAACCTTCGGCATTGAATTATTTCCTAAGTTCATAGATGCACTGTAATCAGCATTCAGAACAAACCTGAGGGGAAGAGATGGTTTGGGATCTTTTTTACATACCCATGCTGGTCTGAGTAATCCCATATCCTTCTGAGACTGCCTGTGGCCTCCTATGATTCTGCAACATTTGCAAACAGCAGAGGTGCTAAAGCCAGGCTTTTGCTTTGCACAGAGAAGGCTACGGGAGTGGTGTTCTCAGGGAAGGCCCCTCAGCTCTGGAAATAGCTGCTTTTATCTCTGATCCCCCAGGTCCTAGATTTTACACCTTTGAGGCGGGCCCCACGAAGCTTGTCTGTTTTCCCAGGTGTTCTTTCACTTACACCTAATTGTAAATGTCCCAACATACTGATTGTTTGCATGTATCCAGTGATTGATTCATTTATATTATACTACAAACAAGCTATTATTTTTTTCTAGGAAAACTCTCTCTGGAAGAGTTCATCCGAGGGGCCAAGAGCGATCCGTCCATAGTCCGTCTCCTCCAGTGTGATCCCAGCAGTGCAGGGCAATTCTAAACCAATTGATTGGATGAATTATATATCTGCCTCTTTTTGCCAAACAACATTCATGGTGGTGTTGCCTCTGTATGGCCAATTAATGCCTTCTTTTGTGGCATCTTTTAGCTTCTTTTGTTGTGGATTAATTATAAGAATGCTGAATTGCTCTTAACAATTTGTCCAGAACATGGACAGTACTGTTTGCAACAGACATCGTGGTGTTAATTGTTTTAAAGATTTTATTTTGTTTTGTTTTATTGTGTCTGTTTTCAAAGTAAGCATCAAGAAGGAAAAAACCTGCAGCAACACACACTGACAGATTTAGATTGCTGCTTTAATAGTTAGAAATTTGCCCACAGGATCTGAAGCACTGTAAGTGTTGAAGTGCAAAGGGCTGCATGAGGTGTAGTATGTCCTGATCTTCTGCCAATGGGCACAAGTTAAATTATAAGACAGGATCAATACGAAGGGTTTGCACAAATGTAGGCAAGTGACAGCCCACTTCAACCCTTCTATGACGCCACATTGTTTCAAGATACTGTGAATGTTGTGTTTTTTTAAGGAGTGTGGAAGAGAAAAAATGATCAACTTTTTTACAAGGTTTACAATGGTTGATTTAGCATGGTTGTATTTGAAAATCAAAGATTTATAATCCAAAAACAATTAGACAAATGCTACTAAATCCATTTGGGAATCACCAGGCAGATGACTATATTGAAAACTGGGTCTGAAAGATACACTTAAGGGAGATGTGTGTTTAGTGTGAGATGTTCAGGCTAGGAAAAAAGTGTTTTTACATCAGGAGAATGAAAGTTTGACTAGCATAGCAGCATTGTACATCCTTACACAGCAAATGCTAAGGCAAACCTGCTGAATGTTCTTGTCCATTTAGAAGTTCTTTCTCTCTCTCTCTCCATAAATAATGCAGGTCCTAGGCCTGCTGTTACAGGGAAGCTAGTATCAAAAACTGTTTGGAACATAAAACTGTGGCATTTGCATTTCATCTGCTTTAGTGGGGTTCAGAAATCTGTATGGAAACAAGGAAATGGTACACTTAGTAGCATATTTATATATGTATATAAAAATTAAAACAAGATTAGCTGTAAGAGAAATGTGAATGGTTATCTTTTCACCTAGTTGTGGAAGGATTTTTTAAATTTGCTGCTGTAAGATTGTATCATCTGGATAGGGTCACTGTACTCAGAGCTGAGCCTATGTCTGGGATTTTGTAATGAATTTGCAAGTACTGAAGCAGCATAACATCTTAGTGCCAGGCGGCATTAGGCTGACTGAGTTTGAGATAATCTATCATTTGTTGAGTCTGCTTTGGAATCCTGTTGGCAAGCTATGACTGCAGTCAGCACACTGGATCAGGAGTTCGTGAGACTGCCATAGCATAATCTTTGTAGGAGAGGTGAAGCTGACATTTGGTTAAGTGACCTTGTAGATGCTAACCCCCTATTAGCCTTAATTTAAAATAAAAATGAATAAAGTAGGTTAGTTCGGCTACTGCTAACTAGTTGAACGCTAGTTAGCAATCAGGAAAAAGTAGATGGATATTACTAATTTGTTGCTGGTCACTTACTAGCAAAATATATATATAGTCATTCAGAAAAGAGAAAAATCTTTGACTTGGCTATCCTATGTTTAATAGTGGAGATGCATGAAAATTAATTCTCAATAATGAATCAGTTCAATTCAAGATGTCATCAGTGGCTAAGCAAACCTAAACAAAATGTCACCGGGTGCATCTCTTGTCTCAAAGGGCCTAGAGGGCTTGCCCAGAATCAGTCTACTTTCAGGTGGTTAGTGAAATTCAATTTATCTTTTATATTGCTGAACAGATTAAAAGACTAGACAAAAGCATGCGTGCCATGTGGGACAGACAGATGCACAAAGAGACAGGGGTCTCTATGTAATGCTATTAGCTCTTTATGGTGGTCCCTGGCCAATCCTACTATGAACTCTGGTTGACTGAAATGGGTTTCTCAGTTTCTCACCAGCTCCTTCTTTACTCTCTCCTCGTCCCCATTAGAAACACTGGGCATAAATGAGACCCTTTAAATAAGCGCCTGTGATCTCTGTGATACTTTTCAGTGTTCACTAGAAATAGCCCCTGGAGAGTCCCTGGGCCTTTGTACCTAGGCAAAATCTGTAGAGATGTCCTCCTGCAGCATCAAAGATCTGTTTTTTTTTTCTACAAATCTGGCTAGATTAGCTGGTGCATGGTGCCCCATGGAAGTTAATGACCTCTAGCAATTAATGCTCTCAGCAGATCTGGGTCTTTATGAGACTGCACCAAAACTCTTCTCCAGGGTGCTCTGTCACCTCCACTATCTGGAGTAATTGGCTTAGAAATCCTAGTGCCCATAGGAAAATGCTAAAGCTTTAATCTCCAGTTTGTGTGCAGGCTCATAGATGTGAAGCAGACACATTTATAAAACCTGACATTTATTGGAACTGAATTTGGATATCTCCTATCATTACATCTTTTTTTTTAATACAATGGAAGCAGTTGCATTTGACTAAAACTATTAAAGTGTTACCTTTTTTAAGCAGCTGCATTCCATCTCTTTTTTTTGTACGAGTATAAGACTCTTTTGGTTCAGAAATTATTCTCAGTGTGTTCTTTTTTCCCCTCCTTATGTTTTGGTTTTGTTTTGGACAGAATCAATCCATGCGTTAATACTTTCCTTTAAACATGTGCTTGAAAATCCAACTGTGATGTGACCCTAGGCCAGTGGAGTTGTAATTCTTTCCACTGGAACACAAAGTCTGGAAGAATAGAAGTAATCTACAGCTGCAGAGGACATAACTGGAGATATAGTTATTGTATAAACATTTACAGAATGTATTAAAGTTATTCCTTAACTGTATTAAGGTTATACCTGTATTAAGGTTATTCCTTTAACTGACAATATATATTGTTTCAAAAGATTAACTATCCCTTTCTTACTCTGTAAGTAAAAACATCATCTATACTTTGAAATCGATCCAGAATTTAATTTGTTAAGCAGCCACCTGCAGTTTGCAGACTAACAAAACAAAATTGCATTATTTGTGCTCTTTATTGTTTTGCTAATTGTTGTTATTGCTTTCAGTGATATCTTGAGAAGAGATGGCCCATTTGAAATAAAACATCACAGCAAGATTAGATATTTTTTTAAGTGAATGGATTAACATATCTTTTAAGTTAAAGGATTGCAGGCAGGATAGGCTGTTTGATACCACTTCCTGCTACTTTGGAGGCATATTTTTCAGTAATATGTATATATTTAGCAGGTAAACAACCAATCTGGTGCCTCAGAAAGTTTAGTGACTAGTATGGAGACTTAATACCTACAAAAGTACATCCAATACAATTCCAATTATCTAGAAGTCTCACGTAAGCATGGCTATTTTTTTGTTGAGGACTATGCGGGTACTGTGCTCTTAGCTGGCAATACCACACAGCTGTGCAGCCCAACTGGTATTTGATAGGCTGCACTTGTTGTAACAGCCAAAGAGCAAAACCAGCCAGCATTTACTGTCCTCATCTCTGAAGACTGGGACCTTGGATCACAGTTCCTGTAAAGCCAGCTGGTATATTCTCTGGTGCACTCTAGGTTTAGGTGAACTGAAGAACCACTATCTTACTTGAAGCCCCATGTATCCAAATGAGACCCGGTAAACAGAGCTGCATGCTACCTCCTGCTGTGATAGGAACATTTAACACCTTGGAACATTTCTCACTGCCACTGTAAGAAATACTTTGCTGTTTTCTGTTATAACATTCTATTCACTATAAGGTTTTTAAACCCTAACCATGACTGTTCAACACAATAAACCACTCCCTATATAGCTACTCTCAGTGGGAGATTTGTAAGTGCACCTAAGATGAAAAGTCTGTACATCTTGGCACATTGATCATGATCTGCAAACAGAGCTGTACCAATATGCACCACTTGTACTGTCAAATGCCATGTCACCCAGCAGGCTTGTAGGTAGAATAGTTGGCTGCAGTGAGGGCAGCCTCTACGTTCAAAGCTATCTTTGGAAGTGCTTACTTGTCTCCCCTATTTTAAACAGTGCTGCTTTTTATAAACATAGGAAAAAGGACAACCACCCGAGGAAACCAGTGCTGTCAGAATGAGAGAAAAACCATTAGCAGAGGCCACCAGCCAGATGTAATTCCTTGAATTTTCATATTCCAGCCCTGTTCATTAACACTACACTGCTGTACCTGACCTGAGTGGAAGTGTGAGTTTGAGTCCAGGATCATTTTCCAAATTAATCTTGTGACAGAACTCTGCCCCGTTGTTACCTGTGGTGGGATGGTCTTTGGCTGCACAGGATAGTGCCAGGTGACTGATATGAGACCTGCTGAAAGTAATACTTTGCTCATCATTTGCAAAGTCAGCTGGTGCTTTTAAGCTCTGTATCTTTCTTCATTTCATGTATCTGAAGCTGGTTTATAGCTTTTATGACTTACTATACAATTTTAAAGGATAACTAAGTTTGGTAAACATTAGCCAAACAGTATTCAAAGGGAGAACCATATGTTGGATCCCCAGCGTCTGCTACTCCAATATCAAGTCCATTTCCATCAAGCAGCAAGGTCACAGTTAGTAGTTATGAGACGAGTAAGTTCATTGGCTTTATTTTACTAGTATGTTCTCCCATGCTTTAACTGTGCACCTTCAGTATGTTTGTGTTGTTTACTGGATGTTTTAGAGACAAAGGGCTTTGCCATTAACCTTGTGTTTTCAGTTATTACCAATATAAATTGGATGTTCAGTGGTACCCAGTGAGAATAGTAATGCTTTTCACCCACCTTGCATGTCTGTAAATGGTTATGCAATGGAAGGTCAGGCCCAAGGATCAGGCCTGCTCTGGCATATGGCTATGAAACAAAATGGCACCTACCTTCTAACTAAACAGATCTGCTTCTCTGGTGCATTCAGTCAGAGCTGCTGGCTCCTGTTGCAAAATAAGCATTTAGTATTTTTCACTTTGGAGCCAACATGTCTGCAGGGAGGGGAAGGATTTTTTTCCTTCTGGTGTATGAGCAACAGAGCTATTTACCGTGCTCCAATTAAAACTCCAGCCAAGATAACAGATGTCACTAAGGGCATAATTGGAAGACAAATGGTGTTTCACAGGTGTAACTGAGGACATAATTTGGCCTGCAGAACTTTTGTTCCTGATTATGATACACAAGAAAAAAACAGCTGAGCCTGACTCAGTTTTCCAGCCAAGCTATAGGAAAATACCTTTGTAAACTGCAAACATTTTATATAAAATGACTGAATCAACAGACACCAAGCTCTGCATGCCTGATAGAGAGCACCTTTTCAGAGAAGGGTTGCACTTTAACCATTGGTACTCCTCTGTTTAGAAACAAAATCGAATAATGGCTGCACATTATTGTGAAATGCAGGTACCAGTGCACTGTGGGGATACTGCATTTGGATAATTCAGAAGGTGGATTTGTCTTCATTTCTCCCACTCTACGAGACCATAACCAACTTTTATACCTTTGGGTGTCTCACTTAGTAGCATCTGTCATTTCAGTCTGTACTGCCCTACTCTATTTGCATTAATCTACAAAGACATATGATATCCAAGTAATGGTGGATACCAATCAGACCCTATTATATATTTTACTTACCCTCCCCCTCCTCTCAGTGCTTTGGGGACACTGGTTCTTGACATCCACAAGTGCAGATATTGATGCCGCTTCATGGATAGACTTCTAATGTGGCCCCCAAGCTTGGGTATGCCTGGGTAGTTGTGCACTGCTCACCAAGCCACAGTATCTACTATAATTAAATACTCTAAACATCTGAAATAATGTGACTTAATTTAACCAAAGCTGTTCAATCTAATTACATTGTTTAATCTGCAACAATATCACTTTAATAAATTGAAGCTTGCCAGTTTTTTTCCTATGGCTTTTGTAATGGAAAACTGATTTCTTCAGGGCAGAGCTGGTGTCTTCCTATATGTCAGTATTATGGGAGCCTTGATTCTGACTGGAGCTTGTGGATGCTACTGGACAACTAGTATTTAAAAATAATAATGTCATGTTAAATCCTTCTGACAAATACACAAGAGCAAACGTTATCTACATTTTCTTTGCTTTTCTTCTTCCAAAGGAGTATCAGAGTGAACAGGGTAGATGGGGTTTTCAAAGGTATTCAGCACTGGCCTGATTCCACTCCCACCAAATTTGAGGGAGGTTTTATACTTGACTATGGAAGCTTTACCCTTGAATTCAGCACAATCAGAACTGAACCAATATTGAGCCATTTTGAGAAGCCCACCCTACGTGTCCAAAGAGCCACAGGCTGAATGAACATGCACAAGAAACTGAGGGGGGAGATGATGATTAGCAAAACTACCTGAAAAAATGTTTATGAACACTAAGTGGCATTTGCCCCGATAATTGGCTGTGGACGGTGTGAAGCTCAATGGGTTTTAGGCAATCATCTGTAGGAGATTCTGCTTTCTTCCCTCCTCTCCTGCCATTAGGTACCAGCATTTTCACTGTAGCCAACTCTTATAGGTAAGTATTTGGAAGAACAAATATAGTTGCAAGCTCTAAATAGTCATATACATTATTTTGTGTCTAAACATCACCATTCCAATGCTTTAGAAGATCATGGGGGGTTATTTTCTCATTTAATTTCCTGGCTGTTATTTCAGCTTGTGTTCTTTTTTATAGCTCTTCTGAAGAGAACAAAATGTCC